GTGAAGGGAGGGCTAGGATGGGGAAAAAATAAGAACCAAGATGGATTATGTAAAGGTACAGTTCCCAGTGAGAAATGTAATTGTGTTGTATACCTACAATGTACCAATGAAAGAATTTAATACAAAAAAAAAAATCAGGCCAGGGATTTAGCTCAATGGTTCCTCTGCCTGCCTCGTAAGCGCAAGGTCCCGAGTTCAATCCCCGGTACAAAAAAAATAAGAGAAAAATGACCAATGTAAGGAACAAAAGAGGGAGCATCACTACAAATCCTGTTGACAGTAAAAGAAAAGAATAGCAAGGGAATATTATAATCAACATTATGTGGGTCAACTCAGCAGCTTAAGCAAAGTGGAAAAATTCCTTGAAATAAAACCCCTAACTGTCAGGCTCATTCAAGAGCCAAGCATGCTGGCATATACCTGTAATTCCAGCATTCTGGAAAGTTACAGCAGGAGGGTCGCAAGTTTGAGTCCAGTCTGGGCAGTTAGACAACTTAGCAAGATCTTGTCTCAGAATAAAATATTAAAAGGGCCAGGGATATAGTTCAGTATGAAGGCCCAATACCACACACATATACCCACATTCATCCTCTCTCTCTCTCTCTCTCTCTCTCTCTCTCTGTAATTACTGTATGTGTTAAACTAATAGTGAATAGCCTTCCAATAAAAATAATTCCAGGCCTAGATGGTTTCATGGGGGAAGTCTTCTAAACATTTAGTGAAGAAATAATGCCAATGCTCTAAGACTTACAGAAAATAGAAAAAGATGGAGTATTTCTAACCTACTTTGTATGAGCTTTATTCTAATATGAAAACCAGTCACAGATATGACAAGAAAATAAAACTAGATTTATATGCCTCATCAATGTAGATAGAAAATTTTCAACACAATTTTAGCAAACTGAGTTTAGCAGTACATCAAAGAAGACATGATGACACGGGAATGCAAGTGTTTGAAACTCAGTTTAATTTCCCACATTAATCAATAGAAACTATATGATATATTGATAGAAAAACCATTTGACAAAATTCAGCATGCATGCATGATTAAAAAGGTTTATCTAAACCAGGTATTAAAAGAAACATCCTCTGTGGGAAAAAAGCGCAACACATGTCAAAGAAGGGCCATGATTGGGAGCCAGAGGCAGATACTGTTACCACCAATATGGCACTCGAGTTTGCAGCCACTGTAGTAAGGCAAAAAATGTGGTAACAACAGGAAATGAGGTGCCTCTGTTCACGGTCAACATGATTACTGTGTAAGAGAGCCCCAGAAGTTTATTTTAAAAGTCACTGCAGCTAATAAGTTCATATAACAAGATCATAAGATACAAGATCAGTGTACAAAAACAGTTACATTTCTGTGTACTAACAATGAATTGAAACAAAAGTCCCATCAAAATAGCATCACAGTCATGAAACACTTCTGTTTTGCTGGATAACTGAAAAAATGCATATGCAAGATAATATGCTGTAAATTTCAAAACATTCGTAACAGGAATCAAAACCATAAATAAATTGAGCATTCCAGGTCATGTCCATGGATAGGAAGACTCAACATTGCTAAGACATCAGTTCTCGTATTGATCATTAAAATCAATGGTATTCTAATCAAAATCCTTTGGTAATAATTTATAAATCAATTCTAAAATTTATGTAGAAAAGCAAAAGAACCAAAATGATAGTTTTGAAGAAGAACAAAGTTTAAGAACTCAATGAAGCTACATTGGTCAAGGAATAGGTGACAGCGTAGAGATATAGAACAATGGAACAGAATAGAGATGTGTATCATGTGGTCAAATGATTTTCACAGTTGCCAAGGTAATAAGAAAAACGTCATCATTGCTATCAAATAGTGCTGGAAAAGTTCAGACAACCATATGCAAAAAGTATAAAATTCTTGATGCAAACAGCCTTAGTTTACTCAGGCTTCCAACACAGAATACCAAAGACTGATTGGTTTAAACAACAGAAATTTATTTCTCACCGTTCTGGAGGCTGAGATGTTCAAGAGGAAGGTGCTGGCAGGGTAAGTTATATTCTGAGACCTCTTTATCTGGCTGGTAAACAGCTATATCCTTTTTTTTTTTTTTTTTTTGCGGTACCAGGGATCAAACTCCGTACCTTGCGCTTGTCAGGCAGGTGTGGTACCACTGAGCTAAATCCCTGGCCCTAGCTTTATTCTTGATTTGGCCTTTCCTTTATGTGTACAGGTGAAAGCACACTTGTGAGATCTCTGATGTCTTCTTACAAAGACACAGATCCTCTGGAGCAGGGCCCACCTTCATGACCTCATTCAATATTAATTACCTCTTTATAGGCATAGTGGTGGTCAGGGCTTCTGCATATGAATTTTGGAGGAACACAGTTAAATACATAGCATACACTACACTTTCACCTTCTACAACACTTAACTTGGAATAGATCATAGACACACGTAAAATCTGAAATATGAAACTTCTAGAATAAAACAGGAAAAATGTTGGCAACTTTGGGTTAGGTGAAGATTTCTTAAGATACATAACACATGAACCATTAAAAAGTGATAAGCTGAACTTTATTAAAATTAAAACTTGGTGGGCATGGTGGCACATGCCTGTAATTTCAGCTGTCTGAGGGGCCGAAGCAGGAGGATTGCAAGTTTGAGACCAATCTGGGGAATTTAGCCCCTTTCTGAAAAAATAAGAAAAGGCTAAGGGTAGAGAGCATGGTTAACATGCACAGGGCCCTGGGTTTGATCCCCAGCACACACACATACATACACACACAAACACACGCAAACTCAATGAAAGTGCCAAAAGATTTGAATGCACATCACCAAAGAAAAGCAGGTAAAATATGAAAGCAGATAAAATAAAAAAGAAAATATGTAAAGATACTTAGTATTATTAGTCATTAGAGAAAGCTGCAATAAAATAACACCACGTGCCATTATGATGACTAAAATAATTTTTAAAGAAGAGTTTTAAGCAAGGTAATTGGAATTCTTACATGTTCCTGGTGGAAACACAAAAAAGTACACCCTCTCCCAAACAGTTTTGTTACTTCTGTGGTCTAGCCTTCCCACTTAGGAAATGAAAGCAAATGTATTCACACACACAAAAAACCTGCATGCAAATGTTTACGGCTTTATTTATAATAGCCTAAATCTATAAATAACTCGTCCATCAACAGGTGATGGATAGACAAACTGATACCAATAAAATGAAATAGTACTTGGCAATAAAAAAAGACAAGCTGCTAACCAGAGCATATTACAGGTGCCTCCCAGTGTGTGAGGTGACTGTTTGCATGACATCCTAGGGTACACACCTGTGGGGACAAACATCAGTGACTGCTGGCCTGTGGCACCAACTCCTCACCAGGGTTTCCAGGGGTTGGGGGTACAGCCGTTCTACATCTTCATTAGGGTGGTGGACACATTTAGCAAAGTTCATAGAATAGCATGGTGAAAAGGGTGAATTCTATTTACATGAATTAAGCCTTAACAAATCTGGTGTTAGGGAAAGTTAAATCATGTTGTCTCTTCCTGCTGATTTCCTGTCTAGGGGTCTCTTGCCTGCCCCCTCCTTCCTAACTCTTTGTAGTACACACAAAGGCCTTGCCACTGCTGGTCCCTTTCTGCCCTCAGTGTCTCCCATACATTCTCCATTTCTTGTGAGTCTCCCTTGTCCCAAATAGAGTCATTTTGAGACTTTCTCCCTTTGCTTTTCCTGTCCTTGGCATTTTTCACAACATATTGGGCTTTTTTTTCCTTTCTGCTACTGTACTGAAGAATATAGTGCAAATTTCAGAAGGGAGTTTTGGGGAAGTTTTTGTCCCATCATCTAAAACACTACCTGACATCTACTAGCTGATCAGTAAACATTGTTGAATGAGTGTGTGAGTGACTGGAATGCTCCCACATCCTTCTGAATCCCCCAGCCCAGCACACCTACCACCTACCGCTCACCCAGGCACATGCTGGTTGGATGTTCTCTGCAGGCTCTGAGCTGCCTTCATAACATTTTTCTTCCCACCAGACCTTTCTTCCAGCACTGGCCCCCTTCCCCTGCCCCAACACCTGTCCCAGCTCTGCCCAAATGAAGGGCTGCAGAATTGCTCCTGACATCTGTCTTTCCTTCCTCTGTTGTCATGGCCCAGCTGGGACAAAGCAGCACCAGTGTGATGCGGAGCTGAGGAAGGAGATTTCCTCAGTGTGGGCCAATCTGCCCCAGAAGACTCTAGACTTACTGGTACCACCCCACAAGCGTAAGTAGGAGGGTGAAAAATGCCCTCCAGCTGCACCTTCCCTGTTCCCCCAGAGGCAGGAGGGGAGAGGCTGGAGGCACGTAGAGGTGGGGGTGGGATGCTAGCCTTGAAGATGTGGGTGTCCCAGGGGCTGCAGGAGGTGATCTGAGGTCCTACTAGTGTGGGGTAAGGTTTAAAACATCCAGAGAAAGCAGGGAGGAAATTCCAGTTAGGGCCTGGGAGAGGCGATATGTAACCCCAGGGGCTCCTAAAGCAAAGCAGGGCAAGTCAGCCCTGCACAGGGACCTTGGGAGGAGTCAGAGCTGCTCTGGGTACAGCATCTGGACCAGTCATGGGGCCGAGCTGTGGCTGAGCCGCTGAGCATCTCCAGATGCCGTGTGGTGTGATGAGGGAGAACAGGCTGCCACTTCACTCTGCTCCACCCACATCTTCACCGGCTTCTCTGCTCTTTCTCCTCCAAACCATTACCTCTGAATCCTCTCTTTGCCTGTTCTTTTTAGCTGATGAGATGACAGTGGGGAAAGTCTATGCAGCCCTGATGATATTCGACTTTTACAAACAGAACAAAACCACCCGAGACCAGATTCACCAAGCTCCAGGAGGCCTGTCCCAGGTACAGGCTCCAGGATTCCCAAGAAGTAAACCAGATACCTTGGAAACCCTGCAGCCTTTGCAGACCCAAACCATACTTGGAGAGGGTGCAGTGGCCAAAGGAGCCAGCCCCACCGCGTCTTCTGGTTGCATGGTGGTACTGGGAAGCCCTTGAGCTAGAGAGCCGGCATTTAGGCTGAGAAGAGAGAGGAGGTCTGGGGACAGAGGCCCTGGGTCACACTGCTCCCTCAATGGTAGATGATGGGAGGAAGGCGTGAGTGTCCGAGGAGGGCCCTTGGCAGGTGAAAGAAGCATCTGCTGTCCTTGCAGGTAGGGATCAGAGAGACTCACACTGATGTGCCTCAGGGTCTCCATTGGCTCTGTTCATGACTCAAGAGCTTTGGGGTCTGCCTTTCTGGTGCCATCATAGTTGTGTCTTCAGTGACCACAGGGAAAGTTCTAAAGTTCTTGGCCCCAGAAATCCAGTTCTCCCAGAGCTCCAGGCAGCAGTGACTCCACACTGGTGCTGAGATGAAACCATTCTGCCGTCTATAGTCTGTCCAACCCCAAATGGTGTAGGTAGGGAAACGGGCTCTGAGAAGTGACATACTTCAGTGAAGATGCTTTAAGGGTCCCCTGACCTGCCCCACTGTTTAAGTAGCATACTAGAGACATATACCTGGGGACAGGGAACTCTGAGCTATGTGTGGAGGAGAACTGGCTTCTGTCATGTGCCACATGTCTGCCGAGGTCACATTACAGGTTCCTGAGGCCTGGCCCCTCCCAGCTCTTCTACCTGTGCCCCTTTGCAGATGGGCCCCGTGTCCCTGTTCCATCCTCTGAAGGGCACCCTGGAGCAGACACAGCCGGCTATGCTCCGAGGAGCTCGAGCTTTCCTTCGGCAGAAGAGTTCCACCTCCCTTAGCAACGGTGGGGCCATGTAAGTGCCGGGTGCAGGGAAGTCCTGGGAGGAGTCTTAAGCCACGGGCCCAGGGAGCAGAAGTACTTTCCTTGCCCTGCCACCCTCTCTTCCCACTGGCCTCTGGTTCAACCCTTGGGGAACCTGGGGTAGCCTGTCCAGGGCCTCAACAGCCCTCTGGGGGCAGAGCTGTCTGGTCCGTCCCTGACCCAGGGCCCCACATTGCCGTGTGCCCTTCACCCCAGGTGCAGCCAAACATCTTTACTGCCTGGCAGTAAGTGGCTTTCCACTTGCCAGTTTTCTGGTGTGGACTTTGGAGTGAGCTCCTGCAATGGCAGGGCCAGCGCTGACTGGCTCTGACAGGTTGCTGTTCCAGAGTTGCTGATAAACTCTGCTCTGTTGCTGGCCTCTGGTGCCTGAAGACCTTTCAGAAATTGTGTTTCCACCTCAAACCCTCACCCTTCCTGTTTGTCACCTGTTAGTATGCTGCTTTCCCTGGCTCCCCTGATGCAGTTTCTCCCAGATCCTCATTTTGCTATTGATTTTTGAGGATGTTGCATTTTGTAGACGAATTGTTTGGATCCTTTTGCATCACTTAACCCTTGCCACAAGATTTCTTGGTAACAAGCTACCCAACACAAAAGGCATAAAACAGTGATCACACTTTCTCGCCCAGGGTGGTGGAGGGCCCTGGGCAGCTGGGCTCCACATGGAGGGCCTCCACAGCCTTCCTGAACAGTGGAATCCTGGGTATGAGGCAGATGGGGCTCTCATCATTGCCTCCAGCAGGCTCACCACCTCACGTGGGCCCTGAGAATGGCGGAGGACCTAGGTGCAGACCCTGTCCGGGCCTCTGCTCCTGCCCAGCAGGGAGCACATTGCAGCCACGTCCTGTAGACTGCAGTGGGCAGGACAAAGGAGCTTGGCCTTTGAGGGCTGCCAGCAAGATGCACCCCATGCCCAGGGCCGTGGTGGGCCTGGCCACCCACAGCCCCATGCTCTCCCTTCTAGGAGTTTGTTAGTGTCACTTTCTTTAAACGGATGATTCTGAGTGTGTGAGTGAGTATCGTTGTGGGAGAACATGCCTACTGTGTTTATCAGAGCATAGTAGTGGAATGTGTGGAAACGTGTGTGTGTGCATGTATTTCTGTGTGGTGGAGAGGATGGAGGTGTCTTTTGGGTAGGTTTGAGCCAGGCTCTCAGAAGGAAAAGGAATCTGAGTTACTTCCTGGTCGTAGCTGCTGCATGAAGGTGAGAGGAGAAACATCTGGTCAGCCTGGCTGGGTGAGCACTCCAGCCTCATGGTGCTGTGACTTCAGTGGCCAGAGCCCATAGGTTCTCCCCAAGGGCTGCTCAGCAACACCCTGGATTCTTGTCAGAATATCCTGAAGGGATGGGTGTAGCCTTCATCTCTGGCCCAGCACTGTGGTCAGGGTGTGGTCAGCTCAGGCCATCACGCTCTACACTGAGCTCCATGTATGATCAGCACCACGCCCCTTGCATGGCTGCCATGTGTGCTCAGTGGGAATGAGTTCTTGTAGGCAGAGTTAGATCTGGATGGGAGACACTGTCAGAGCATAGTAAGGGGTAGGCAGAGAGCATGTATGGCCCAATTCCACAAACACTGAAAGAGTAGAAAGGACCTTGGAGCTGGGGTCAGGGAGGGGATGAAGGGTTGCCAGCAAGTGCTCCCAGGGCGAGGCAGCCCAGAAAGGCCTGGGCCCAACATCTTCAGCCATATCAGCATTGGCAGTGTCTCTTGGGGTGCTTTTCACTTGTCCAAGCTTCACTCCCTGGCTGTGTCCATTCCCACCATGGTCTTGTGCAGCAGGATAGTATTTCACAGATGAGCCCCCATCCAAGAGTGAGGAACTTGCCAGTCAGCTGGAGTCCTCTCTGGTTCCGAGTCTTGTCCTACTCTGACCAGCACCAAGTCTTTGCTTTTTTGGTGTGCCTTTACTCCAGAGCACTTGTATGCAGGAGCAGGCTTGTTCTAGGATCCCTGGCCTTGCGAGAGTGTAGCTGGTAAAGGCTTCTGGGGGCAGGGGATTTAGCTCAGTGGTTCCGCCACCTGCCTTGCAAGTGCAAGGTCCCGAGTTCAATCCCCAGTACTGGAAAAAAAAAAAAGGCTTCTGGCAGGTCCAGGGGGCCAGAAAGCAGTGCGTGGGTCTCTGACCTATGGGACATTCCTCTTCTTTTCCACAGACAAACCCAAGAGAGTGGCATCAAGGAGTCGGTGTCCTGGGGCACACAGAGGACCCAGGAAGCACTCTACGAGGCCAGGGCGCCACTGGAACGTGGCCATTCTGCAGAGATCCCTGTGGGGCAGCGGGGAACACTGGTGAGCCCTCCTTGGGGGCAGGGTGTATGGGACAGAGCCCTGTTGGCCTGTGGGCAGGGATGGGGGTCTGTGGCACCAGAGGAAGGCATGAGGACCAGGATGGCGGGGTCTGTGGGACCTGGACGGGTGGGCGTGCCTAAGATGGCTCCCTGTGAGTGTGACTCGGAAACTGCTCTCCCCAGGCTGTGGATGTCCAGATGCAGAGCGCCGCCCTGAGGGACCCGGATGGAGAGCCCCAACCTGGGCTGCAGAGTCAGGGCCGAGCCGCCTCTATGCCCCGCCTGGCCGCAGAAACACAGGTGGATGGTTGTGGAAGGGTCTGGGCCGGGGAGAGGGGTGTGGGGACTTGGGAGAGAGAGAAGAGCACCCGTTCTTGGAGCTCTTCCAGGCGCCTGTGTAGCCTGGGCACCATCAGCCCTGTGGACCTACCCAGTACCCACATGTGCACAGCCTTCTGGGGTCTTCGAACTCTGAACCTCCAGCTCTGCTCCCTCCAGATGTGGTAGCAGCTAGGAGGTAACCCCCAGCTCTGTCCCCTCTCCAGCTCTGTGTCCCCACGGTGCATCCCTATTTCTTCCCTTTCTGGGTCTCCACTGTTATATCACAGCCTCTTTACCCTGTCCAGAAGATGACACCACTTGCCTCTGTCCATTCTTCTACTCGAGTTTCTGGAACAGCTTTTTCTGTTCTATCCCTGGACTTTCTTTCCTTCTCTGACTCCTGCAAGTCAGATTCTTTCTGGTGCTCATTTGCCTAAAGAGCAGGAACTGGCCCAGGAAATTGAGGCTCTGTGTGCGCCCTGGGACAAGCTCCTGTCTGAGGACTCTGAGAGGAGTCCACTGCATTTCCACTCTGAAGCAGAGCAGGGGCCGCATGGTCTTGGCCTCATCTCTAAGCACCCGAGCCCTGCTGGGCCCAGGTTTCCCCGCTTCATCATGTTCCTCCTCCTTCCTGTGGCTCCTGGCTCTGGGCATGTACTGTGAACTTGGTTCTCATTCCTGACTCCCGACCCCACTGCCTGGCTCTGCCCTTTGCAGTGTCCTTGTCCTCGCCTAACAGTCCACGTGTCCTTCCTGCTGTCCTCTCCTCTTCCCACTTGTGTGCTCCCTCGCCAGTCTCCTCCAGGATGTTACTGCCAGTCGGGAGGCCAAGGAGAAGTGTCCCCTGCCATGGCCGCACTCAGACTCCTGCCCACCAACAGCCCCTTGGACAGCCTAGGGACTCTAGCCCATGTCCGGGTCCCCCATGGGGCCTGGCCTGCCTCTCTGCCCGGCGCCTGCTTCCCTGCCACCCTGTCACCCCAGGGACTCCCTCATCCTTCAGGCCATGCTCCGCCTTGTCCCTTGCCACAGCCTGCTCCTGACGCCAGTCCCATGAAGCGCTCCATCTCCACGCTGGCCCAGCGCCCCCATGGGGCCCACCTCTGCAGTGCTGCCCTGGACCGCCTGGCCCCCGGCCAGGTGCCACATCACCATCATCACCGCTGCCACCGTCGCAGGGACAAGAAGCAGAAGTCCTTGGAAAAGGGGCCCAGCCTGTCTGCCGACACAGATGGTGGTAGGTGCCCAAGGGCCTGGGAAAGCCCTTGAGCGACTGTGGCCTGAGTGCAGCCCATGGGTATCGCCTCTTCCTTGGTGTCCCTCAAGGCCCCAAAACTGGCCACAGCAGACAGGGACCTGAGGCCTGGTCTGGGCACCAGGTGAAACCACATGCCAGCCCCCTGGCCTTTCGAGCCCTGCTGAGGTCAGTCCTGCTGCCCCCGGGGTGGGGTCTGGGAAGAGGTCTCCCTGGCCCTGGGCTTGGCTGAGCTGACCTCGCCTCTTCTGGGACAGCACCCAGCAGCACCCCAGGACCTGGCCTGGCCCCAGGCGAGGGGCCCGCAGGCTGCCGGCACGAGCGCAGGCAAGGACGTGGCCGGTCCCAGGAGCGGAGGCAGCCCTCGTCCTCGTCCTCCGAGAAGCAGCGCTTCTACTCCTGTGACCGCTTTGGGGGCCGGGAGCCCCCACAGCCCAAGCCCTCTGTCAGCAGCCACCCCACGTCTCCGACAGCTGGGCTGGAGCCGGCGCCTGCCCCCCAGGTTAGCGGCAAAGGCCATGTGGCCTGTCCCGCACACCCTGTGTGCCCTTGCTTCCCAGCCGCCGTCCCTGGGGCAGTGGTTCCAGTCCCCACGGCCTCTTCTGCCTGCTTCTCCGCTACCCTCCCGTGTTCCTCTCCCCGGCCCCAGGCGGCCCCTCCCTCTCCTCCCTCTGCTCCGCTCCGTGCTCCCGAATCTGTGGCTGGCTTTTATTTGCCATTCTCTTCACACAGGGTGGTGGCTCCGTCACTGGCAGCCCCTTGCTGTCCACATCTGGTGCTAGCACCCCAGGCCGAGGTGGGCGGAGGCAGCTCCCGCAGACCCCCCTGACGCCCCGCCCCAGCATCACCTACAAGACGGCCAACTCCTCGCCTGTCCACTTTGGCGGGGCTCAGAGCAGCCTCTCAGCCTTCTCCCCTGGCCGGCTAAGCCGAGGACTTTCTGAACACAATGCCCTGCTCCAGAGAGACCCCCTGAGCCAACCCCTGGCCCCTAGCTCTCGCATCGGCTCCGACCCTTACCTGGGGCAGCGCCTGGACAGCGAGGCCTCTGCCCACGCCTTGCCTGAGGACACGCTCACCTTTGAGGAGGCCATGGCCAGCAACTCAGGCCGCTCCTCCAGGACTTCCTATGTGTCCTCCCTGACCTCCCAGTCCCACCCCCTGCGCCGCGTGCCCAATGGCTACCACTGCACTCTGGGACTCAGCACCGGCGGCCGGGCTCGGCACAGTTACCACCACCCTGACCAAGACCACTGGTGCTAGCTGCACCGCGACTGCCGTGCACCTGGCCGGCGGTGTGCGCTCCAGTTGATGAGTTTTATCATCTGCACTGGGCTCGGGCTGCAGCCCCTGGACGAGGGGCCTCACTGGTGGCCTCTGTGGTAGAGGCTCCCCCTTTTACACTGGAAGGACTAATACAGCCCTTCCTCAGAGGGTTGTGGCTGTGTCTGTCCCCCTTGTGTGCTGCCTTCCTGGCTCTTGTGCCACACATCACGATCCTGAGCCGGAGGTGGCTGAGTTGAGAGGGACCCAGCGGGTCCACACCCCACGTCGTGGCCCCCAGCATCCAGGGCGTGTGCTCAGACCTGCGGTAGGAGGTCTGAATCTCGTGGCAGCACCCTGTATCCAGATTGTTGTGTGGAGGGTAGGGGCATGCCTGAAAGCATGAAGAGGGCCCAGCCATGGCCGGGCATCTCTTGCCGGCCTCTGTGATTCTGTGTCTGTCGTTGCTTGTGGCACTGAACAGCAGATGTATGTAGAAACACACTGTCCTTCCCCAATCACTGTTGCCCCAAAAGGGACCAAATCCAGAGAACGTTTGTGCTGTCGATTCCGGTTTTTGGTCACAACACCCTTCACTCTTTGTCATTTCAATATACTTGATCTAGAAAAACTGAAACTAGGAAACATGACTGAGGAAACATTAACATAACATCAACCCATAGAAAAGTCTCCACTTTTCATTGTGTGTTTCTGTACTTGTGTGAGAAGATGTTCCTGTGTGGACTGTGCCTGGCCTGGGCCCCCAGCCCCAGCAAGCCTGACAGCTGCTGCTGGACCAAGTGCCTGACCTCCAGCTCCTGGGCACTGTGTGAGGCGAGGCCTTGTGAGCTGTCACTCATGGATTATGTGAAAACTGCTTAGAACGGCAGCTGGGTAGGAAGCTCATGTCTGCAGGAGCAACAGATGACACTCAGCAGCACAGCGCAGTGAGGACAGGTGTCTTTGCCCATGTTCTTCCCACAAGAGGATTTAGGAAAGACGAAGAGCAGCAGAGTGCATGCTTGTGTGAGGCATTTTCAATCTGTTCTATATCTGATTCTCAGGGATGGGATGCCTGCCAAGTAGGGCATGATCTCTGTTGTGCATGAAGTGACTTCACCAAAAGCTAAAGGAGCGAAAGTTAGTGGGGAAGAGGGAGCTAGTGACTAGGGGGTTGGATGTAGGGCCATTGTGGCAGAAGGGAAAAAGTCATAGCAGGTGACTGGTGGAGGAGAAATGGCTCCTGAGCTATGGCTGTGGCCTCAGTTCCTCACCCCAGGCATAGGGAGGCAGTAGTCAAACCTAACCTCACAGCCACTGTCCAAAGGGAAAGCCCATAGTCAGGACGGTCTTTGGTGTGTAGAGAATGTTGAGAGACCTTCTTTCATGAAGAAGGGTGCATGTAGACAAGTCCATCAGTGTGTCCTTTGTGTTGGAACTTCAGATGATTTCTCTGTGGGATTGTTGGCTTCTACCCTATGATTCTCCTCAAGCTACGTGTGACCCATGTATGCGTGTCTGGGTGTATGTGGTTGTGTGTTGCGTGGATGTCAATCATAGGGCTATGCAACAAAAGACACATTTAATAGAAACAAAACACACAAGACCACCACTTGGTCTAGAGTTTCAGCATGATTGTGACCAAACCTTTTTATAGAATTTCCTTATGTGAAGGCACAACACTCTGCAACTCTAATGGTAACAGAGTATTTTAATCTGATAGGGTAAAATTATGCAGGAATCTTGGTCTGTGCATGTGACTCTGTGCTCACGTTGCAAAGTAGAAGGATGTGCATTTCAATACTGTTTTGTCTTTGTTCCTCCAGCCCATGTTATCTTGGGTGTCAAAATGTATACATTCCATGTAGAACCACAGTAGTCTCCCAGGCAGTCATGGGTCAAGAATATTCTTTTCTAGACTCATACAACCTAGCTAGCTTGCCTGGATTCTTTTAGGCATTGGCATTCATGAAATTACAAGAAGGGAAAGGGGTCTTATTTTCCTAACTAGGTTTGTTTCTGTACTGTCTCTTCTCAAGTTACTGTCTGTTTCCTCTAAAATATAGTGAGTTGCCAAATTTGAAATGCATCAACCAGCTATCTGCATCTGAAATCTGTCAAGCGGTGGCTGTACTTCGAACAAGTTATGTGTGCATGTAAAATATATACATATATACATTATACAAGTATGTGCATGAAATGTATATCTTCATACTTTTTGATACAATGTATTCATTTGTTAATTTTTAATTATATTTGATATAAATTGAAGGTTTGTTGTAAAACTTTATATTTAACAACAGTGTTAAAGAGAGAGAGAGAGAAGTCCCAGCCATGCAAACCAATTGGGACCTACTTTTAAAAATCCTGTGATTAGTTTACTGCCTGAGTAGTATTTACAAGCCAAAATTTGGATTCTGGTATTGTTTCTACAGTGACCTTTTGTATGAAGCAAAAGTCCTTGGATTAAAATAAAAACTTAGAAAAAAATTCCCAAAGACAAAAGCAAAACTTCCCACAATGCTACCAGGAGGTATGTGGGGGTCTGTGTGTCTCAAGCGTGCTGGATGGGTGCAGCCAGGACAGATGAGGGGAAAATGGGAACTTCTGCATCCTGCCTGTAGGCCCTAGTTAAAAACCAAGTGTGAGATACTAAGAATCAGGGTGAGCATGGCTCAGGACGGGTGGGTTCTTTGGCTCCCAGGCCTGATAACTGGACCACAATATCAGGAACCTGGGTGCCTGGAGCCCCTGGTAAGCAGTGCAGGAGCAGCTGGACTACATGGCCCAGAATTCTCTGACATCTGGAGCTCCCAGCCACCGTCACCAGAACCCCCTTTTCAGTGAAGGCTGAGGGAGCAGATTCTGGACTACATTGCCCAGAATCTTCCAGGGTATGGAGCTTACCCCTATGATGACTAGGGGAAGAGTTCAGACTATCTTGCCCAGAAACTTTGGGGGTCTGCAGGTCACAGCCAGCCTGGTGACCCCCACCCTCAAGATCAGTTCTGCCAGGCACAAGACTGCCCTGCCCAGAATGCTGTGGGTTGCAGAATGTAAGTGTGACCTGGGTGAGGGCTGTGAGGACAGAATGCTGGACCATACAACCCAGAGTCCTCTGAGACTGAGTTCCCAGGAACCTTGGCAGCAAAGGCTGAGTGGCAGGAAGCGAAACAGTAGCAGAGTACCTGGAGTGCCAGAGAACAAGTTTTCAGACCTGCAGCTCCTAGAGCAGGGCCATAGGGGGATGTGCCTCTGAGCTGAAGTCCCAGTCACCTCTGCAGTGGCCACCACAGTGCTGCATTTAATGTCTTAAAATGACCCTAAAATGGGACCAGTCACTGACAAACTCACTATTTTAAACACACCACTGCCAGAGGCATCTGCTGTGTCTTACCAACCAGCCCTCCAAAGCAAGGATTGGGGTCAAGTTAGGAGGAGGGGTTGGGGTCGGGGTTGTGGGGCTAGGAGTTTAGGGTTAGGGTTATGGAACCATATTAGGGTTCCCTACTTTTAGGGTTAGCAAACCATTACTATGGTTAGGGTCCCCCATTTTTAGGGTTAGGGAACCCCATTTTTATATACTGAATTTAAATTTTTTGTTTTAAATTTAAAATTATATATATATATATATATATATGTATCTTTTACTAATAGGAATGTATAGGCTCTATAGAAATAAATGGGCTCTATTGAAATACATATTCTCCATAGGAAAATATACGGATATGCTCCTCTATAAGGGCTTCTAGGTTGTAGAGTAGCAGTCAGCTGCTGTAGTGGCTAATAGGGAGGCAGTAGTGTAGATCTTGGGGTTGCAGTTTCAAATCTAGCATCAGGTATTAGTGTACCACATTCTTAGGGTTAGGGAGAAAATGAAGTTCAGGGCTCAGGGTTGCCTTAGGTTTCAGATTGGAGTTGGCATTGAGATGTAGGGTTGGAGTTAGAGTTAGAGTTGATAAATGGAACAATTCCATGCACATTCCTTACATTTTACCAGTTAAATGGTATTCAAAGTATATTGTGGTACATTAAAGATTTGTATTGTAAAAGTTTAGAGGAAAACATAGTCCAACAAAATATAGTATATGTTGTTAACACTTCCAAGACAAAGTATTACAGACTTGAGTTAAACAGTACAAATTTATTTTCTCACAGGTCTGGAGGAAGGAGTCCAAGCAAAAGCTGCCTGTAGAATTTCTCCTGAGCCCTCTCTCTTTGATTTGAAGACAGCAGACTCCTAGCCATGTCCTCACATGGCCTTTCACGTGTTTACCCCTGGTGTCTCTTTTACAAGGACCCAGTCAAACTGGATTAGAGCTCACACACATTCTTGTTTCTCTTTTCATGGAATAAAATATTTGACTCATAAAAGGAGACACAAAAGATGCTCATTCTCCATACCTCAGGCGATATCAGAATCTGGTTGGAGGATGCCTCAGATGCTCATTTCCGCTCTGTGAATGTCCCAGGCTAGTCTAGCCAGTGGTCCCTACAGAGGGTTTTCTGGTAAAGTCTTCAGGAGGCATGACAGCCACCAGGTTACTTGTGGAGCAGTTGTGCTTTCTCCAGGCATCCACAGCCAATGGCTAGTGTCTGTCCTTCAGAGGGCATCCTGGAAATGTTGTCATTAGAGGGCTTCCCATGATGGGACCCACTCTATACTAGGCAGAATTGCCTTTAAGGTGCATCGTTAGATGGCCTTGGCAATCCCTTCCAGAAGGCAACTGGAAACATGGGAACTGCAGCCAGTAGCAGGCCCAACTAGGAAACATGTTTATACTGGAGGTCCCTGCTCCAAACTTCATGTCTATCCCTGAATTCATAGACCTTATTTTTCTGTGGGGGGAAAAAAAGAGATCCAAAAAAGAAAGAAAGAAAAAAGACTCTTTGACATTTAGATACATATTTTGAATAAAATAGACCATGTTATTGGGATAGAGGATGGCATCGAGATGGGGCACAAATTACATTGGTTGATCAGAAAAGACTTCCCAAAGGAGGGTGTGAGTATTGGCCCTTCCAAGAGCTGCAGGACCAGGGAGGAGAGAGGACACAATTCATGCATGGCCGCAAGCTGCCCAAGACCTTAATGCATCACAGCGCTATCCAGTTCTAGTAATGTCAGTGTTTCCATTCCTGTCAACCTATAAATATGAACAGCTGTTTGCTCTATCCTAAGAATCTCTGGCTGCACCTTCAGTCCAGAATTCAGTGTGATTTTGAGATATAAAATCCTAACTTGTTTCAGTTACAAATTTTTCCTACAGTGATTTCAATTAGCAACTGTGCCATGGAGAATAAAGCATAAAACACTCATTCAGCAAATATGTATGGGGTGTTTCTGTACATTATGTTTTAGTCAAGGAACAGATTATTTTTAAAATAATCATTTATGAATTGCATGTTGTTAATATACAATCCCAAGTACCTGGGAATATCCAGGTGATCATATTCTTAATAATTATCCTCAGGGATTTGACATTGTGTGACTGGATCACCACTCTTTATGTAGAGTTGGTGTTGAAAATCCTGGTAAGGATACTTTCTTCTTCACTTCTAACATACACAAAAGTATTTTCAAGTGAAATGATTAAATGATCTTACATATAAAATAAAATTATTTAAATATCATGCCATAAAATTATAATTTTAATGTGACTCCAGTAAAAGTCAGATATAATTATTTTCTGGAAGCAAAGAAGTCTGTTTATAAGCTCCATATCTTAATTCATTTTCTGTTACTAAAACCAAACACCAAGACTCAGAACTGTAGTCACAGGGGAAAGGAGTGTCACCAGGAGGATTCTGTGACCCATAGGGTGGAGAACACACAGAGCCTTCTGGGTACCCTAGTCCTGGTGGTAAGGGTGTTATACTGAGGATTTGGGGTACCACAGTGGGGGACAAAGAGCAGTTTCTGAGTACTGTAGTGGGGTGAGGTTGTCACGCAGGATTCTGGATACTTCAATGTTGGGCCTTACAGAAGATTCTTGGTACCACAGTTATGTTACCACAGGGAGGATTCTGGGACCCCTGGTGGGCAGTGCTGTGGACTCAGCAGCTGATGTCCCCAACTTTGTGACATTAGTTGCCCTGGTAAGCTGGACTCCTGCTGCCCCTCTGCCTTCGTGGGAAGGAGGCCAAGAAGACCCAGTACAGCATGGGGGCGGGGGGCTGGCAGGTGGGGTTGCTAGGTTTCAGTTCCCTGTGTGCATGAGCTCAGAGAGGTGACTGCAGAACCCTGGAGTGTGCAGTGGGCTGGGCCTAGACCTCTGGGCTGCAGCATCTCAATCTCTGTGTCTACAGGTGCGTGGAAAGTAAGGCTGAGGCATCTCATGCCCAGGACCCTTGGTCCTCAGTGTGTGGTTGCAACAGCCAGCAACCAGGGTCAAGTTAGGGTAAATGGCAGGGTTAGCATTGGTATTCAATGTTGGATTAGAGTTTAGGGTTCAGGGTTGGGCTTAGGCCTTATGGGTTAAGGTAGGGTTAGTGTTTTATGTTAATGTAAGGTTTGTAACTATGTGTTAATGTTGGAGTTTGTGTTATACTTGGCATATGGTTAGGGCTAGGATTCAGTATATTGTTAAGTTCATCACAATTAGGTTAGGGTTAATGCTCTGCCAAGAAATCAATGGAGCTTTTATACGATAATGCAACTTAAGCCCACGTCACTTTTACCACTTGTCCTGCCTGGGAGAAAAATTCTTTTTTTATTGGGAAACAGTTCTTTTTCTGGACTTCACTATGGGACAGTTTGTCATGACCATGATCTTGACAAATGTAAAGAACACATCCATTTTTATTTGAATACATGTCTTCAGTTCTTTTGGATAGCTACTTAGGAATGAAAAGATTGAGGCCTACAGTAAATCTATGTTCAACTTTTCTGAGGAAATTCCAAGCTATTTTCATACACAGGCTGCACTATGTATAAGTTTTCAGTTTCTCTACATTCTTACCAGCACTTATTACCTTAAATTATACTGATGATAGGTGCTATACTAGGAGAGAAGGGGAGCCGCACTGTGGTTGTCATTTGCATTTCCTTAATGGCTGAGATGTTAAGCATGTTTGTGTTTAAATGGAGGAGTCATTTCACATTCCAGCATTCTGGTATTTGTCTCGATTGTCAGCTATCAGTACCAACATTCAGTGAGGCTGTAACTGGCACCACAAAGTGAAACTTTAAAACTTAGATTTCTTTTAGAATCCAGTGACTTCTGCAAACTTCCTTGGGCTTAGGACATAAGCTTTTGTATCTGGTTTATTTCATCTAGCATTATGGTCTCAAGATGCACCCATTTTCCCAGAAATCAATCAAATTTATCCTTCTTTCATTTTGTTTTGTTGGGACAGGGTCTCACTATGTAGTTCAGGCTGTCCTCAAACTTGCAACAGTCCTTTTGCACAGAAATGGCAAATGTTCTCAATGTATCCATAACGCTCCTAAAAAATAGAAACCAGGGCTGGGGATTTAGTTCAGTGGTTCAGCCACCTGCCTTGCAAGTGCAAGGTCCTGAGTTTGATCCCCGGTACCAAAAAAAGAAAAGAAAGAAAGAAAGAAAGAAAGAAACCAGGGCCTAGAAAAGGACCGCCCCACTGGACCAAGGGATCTTAGACTCCCTAGCATGTCTCATTGAGGACTAGGTGTTTTATAAATGCTAGTGGCTGGCCATCCTTAGACCCTGGACAATGAATCTACAGGGGTCTGCCAAGGATCCTGTTTACTATAGTAATGGGCCACACCAAGGATTCTGGGCACTGTAGTCTGGGGGTGGGGGAGTCACACCAAAAGTTCTGGGTACTGTAATCCCATGGGGGCACACTGAGGATTCAAGACATTGTATTCCATGGGGTGTGTGCGTGTGAAAAGACACCAAGGATTTTGTGTGCCATAGTCCTGGGGCGTGTCTCAGGAATTTGGGTATATTAGTTTGTGAGGGAACCTGCCTGAGGATTCAGGTATCTTCCTGTTTAACGGGGTACACTGAGGATTCTGTGTACTGAAATCTTGTGCAGTTGAGGCATGCAGAGTTTCTGAGTAATGTAAACCTGGGAGGGATAGTCACACGGAGAATTACGGGTACCATGATGAGGGAGGAGTGAGCTAAGGCTTCTGTCTATGGTAGGGTATGCATAATCTTCTGGGTAATGTAGTTCTATGATTGGGGTGTGCAGAGTCTTCTGGGTACTGTAGTTCTGGGTGTGGGCTGTTAGGCCAAGAATTCTGGGTACTGTAGTTGGGTGTGCACACCAAGCCTTCCGGGTTGGGTTACCACGTGCAAGATTCTGTGACCTCTGGCGGGCAATGCTGTGGAGTCAGCAGCTGTTGTCAGCAACCTTCTCGTGTCAGTTGTCCTGGTGAGCTGGACTCCTGCGTACCCTCTATCCAGTGGGACAAAGGGGCTGAGAAGACCAGGCTGGTAGGGCGTTCCCGCTGGATTAGAGCTGGCCACTACTGTGACTGGCCCCAGGGTGCCCACACTTGAGAGGTTCCTCCTCCCGTGACCCCCCCTGCTATGCCCAATCCTGACGCACCCCGCCACACCCCTCCTCCTCCAGAACCCAGGCCCAGCCCCTCTCACTAAAGCTCAAGGATACCCACAGCTGAGGTGACCTGGCTCCGCCCCCTCCCGTAACCCACCCTGTTGGGCCCAATCCTGGTGCTCCTGGGCTATGCCGCTTCTCTTCCCGAACCTAGGCCCCGCCCCTCTCACTAGAGCTCAAGGACACCCACAGCTGAGGTGCTCTGGCTCCGCCCCCTCCCGTAACCCGCCCTGTTGTGCCCAATCCTAGCGCTCCTGCGCTACGCCGCTTCTCTTCCTGAACCCAGGCCCCGCCCCTCCCATGACCCCGACCCCGGCCGCCCAAGGCTGAAGAGCCTGGCCACGGGGCTCTTCCTCCTGTAGCCAGGCTCCGCCCCCACTGTCGACTCCCCCTGTTGTGCCCAATCCTGGTGCTCCCAGGCTATGCCCCTCCTCTTCATGAACCCAGGCCCGCCCCTGCATGCCCCACCCATGACGCAGCCCAGGATGCCCTTAGCTGAGGAGCCTGGCCACGCCCCTCCTCCTGTAGCCAGGCTCCGCCCCCTCCCGAGGCCTTTTCAGCTGCACACCCTGCTCTCTGGACCCTTCTGCCTGCTGACTAGAGTGCGGCAGTCTGCCGTGCTTTACGTCCAGCAGAGAGCGCTGCTTCATCTCTGTCCTCAGCAGGCGAGGAGCCTCCTACCAGGACCTCGGTCTCCGCCCCAGGGCAGGTCGAGGCGTGAGCACCTGCTGGCCTCACCAACCCCAGGCCTCACCTTCCCACCAAGCCTGCTCTAGGCGTCTGGAGTGTGCGGTGCAGCAGGTAAGGAGGGGTCTGCATGTGCGGTTGGGGCCAGCACGGACCGGGAGGCGGGAGGAAAAGGGCAGCCCGCCATCAGGAGCCAGGATTAGTAGAATGAACTGCAGGGTTAGCACGGGTGTTAGGTGTTGGTTAGGTTCGGGCCAGTTTTACCCTAACCTCGAGTTGTAAGGAAGTATTCATGCTGGGGTTTGTATTATCTCTTGGCATATTGTTAGGTTTATCGCTTACAATTAGGTTAGCCCCGTGAGGAAATCAGTGGCATTTTTATAAGATAATGCAATGCTTAGGCCCACTTCACCACTTACTCTGCCTGAGAGAAAACTTTTAATTCATGAATTGCAGATTCAGGCTATGTCTTTACATTCCTGTTTTGACAAAAACCTAAATTAGCTGTTTTGGGAATTTGTCAACTAGTTTGTCTGAATTTTCACAACTGGCATATGTCACAATCAGCCGATATAATTATTTCCCCTGAAAGTCAGTAGTATTTTTTTTTTTTTTTGGTACTGGGAATCGAACCCGGGTACTTGCGCTTGCGCAGCAGGTGGCAAAACCACTGAGCTAAATCCCCGGCCCAGTCAGTAGTATTTTAACATGAAGTATAACTATAGAGTTGCTAATTTTTAGGGAAATATTGTTGGCAAAATGTAGGTGGTATATCTCATCAAAATTATATTTGTAGGAATTTCTTTAGCATACTAATTTGCAAATTCTTCTATTTATAATCTCTGTTTATATAGAATACCTCAGAACCATAATTCCTTCAGTGTAAATTACTGTTAAAATGTATTTTCAGTTTTTTAATTTAGTGACACCACTTCAGTTAAATTTGTTTTGTTTTGTTTTGTTTTGGAGACAGAATCTCACTCTGTAATTCAGGCTGGCCTTGAGCTCACCATGTAGTCCCGGCTGGCTTTGAACTCATGGTGATCCTCCTGCCTCAGCCTCCTGAGTGCTAGGATTACAGGTGTGTGCCACCACTCTGGGTTTAAACTTCTTGTTTACCAGTAACCACAGGATTGGTGTCTAACTTTCAGTGCCAGTCAGTGATGACTGTCACAGCAGAGTTAAATGGCTTTCTTGCTGTTCAGCTGTTACAGGCCTAAGATTGTTAGAGCATCTTTGAATGTCTCAACTTTTTTAGATTTTCAGTAAGTACAGTTTGTCAAATAACTTTTGAGGCACTGGGACATACCTGAATTAAGAATGAGCTCATCTTTTACTTGTCTTTATACTCAAAGTCAAGTATCCCATCTAAAGTGTGTACATACCCTGTCTGGAATTCTCACATGTCTCCAATTAGGTCAGAGACAAGAGAGGAGGAAACACTTTTGATTAAGATGTGGGGTTGGGAGAGTGAAAGAATTTTTTTGTAGACATTACTCTTTTGCAAATATTACAAATGGGGAGGGCAAAGTAGAAAAAGTATACAGTAGTGAAAACATTTGCTCTATAAATTGTTAACCTTTAGAGATATAATGGCTGCTAAAAATAGAGTCTTTACACTAAAGAAAAATTTATGCCATTTTGAAAATAAAATCTTGTTCCATAAATGCAGCCCAACTAAATATTAATGTTAGTTCACAAATCACTGCTGTCAGGGGAATGAGTAAAGTAGAAAAACTTTCAACTTTTGATTCTAAATTATGTAGTATAATCAAACATGAGTAAAGTAGAAAAACTTTCAACTTTTGATTCTAAATTATGTAGTATAATCAAACATGGTCATAGAGAATTTTTATATTTTTCTTTGTACAGAGGTTATATATTCTGGGTATTTTTTTAAAGGAAACACTTTAAATCCCACAAATCAGCATTTTCCATCATTCATGAATGAACTAAGATTTTCTCAGTACTCTGAAATTTCTTTACCTTATATGCTTAACAGCTGAGATGCTGGATTTTTTTTTTTAATGTGTGATGAAGATTTAATTTCATTTCTATCCATAGCAACCAAAATTAACTAAGTTTGACATTAAACATTTGAACATCTACTGGAATTTAGAATTGCTAGATGTTCATCTAGCATAGCAGACCTGCTCTGAAATACCAGCTTATTGAAATTAGATGCTTTAATATAATTACATAAATAAATTAAAATCACTAAAATGTCATATTGCACATCAAGCCTGGATAATTCAAGTTTCTTTTCACTACTTATTTCTGCTATGTTTTTTCAAGACAATTCTTTTTAATATAGAAATTATAACCAAGATGAACTGGCTATTAAATATGCCTTCAGAGCTAAATCTGTAGGAACATTGCACATTTCCTATCATTTTTTTTCTGACTCTTTCCACAGAAGCGAGAAGAAGAAATTCCAAGGAAAAGAAGAAATATAGACAAGCAAATATGCTTATGGTCATTCAAAACCAGATGGTTGAGCATGCTTGACTGCTATTGGTGAGTCAAATAGAAAATGACAGTATCATTTATCATAATATATTATACACAAAATTTTAACAAAGGCAAGGCAAATCAGACTGCTGATTTCAGCCATATGTTATATTTGATAGCAATTCATAGATGTGTACTACACAAAATCAAAATAAATGCCTTAATTCTTAAGGTAGAAAAGGCTGGATTGTTTTTGTATATATGACTGCCTCCACCTGAAATACTGTCAGAAGTACTTAAAGGGGAATTTATCTTGTACATGAAATTTTTAGAGTTGATAATGCATTAACTAATTTTATAAACTCTTAGACTATGTATTTGGCCTGTAAAATGTACAGTTTAATGTCAGCTATCTATAAATACTGTTGTTGGGTCAGGGATTTAGCTCAGTGGTTCTGGCACCTGCCT